GTAAGTTGGACGGGGTCTAAGCCGGAAACATATATTACACTTGTGGACTCTGCTTCTCACAGTGCGGCGTGCGGAGAGTATCCAAAATTTTTGACGGAGTAATGACAATAACAATTCAGGCCCAGCGTGTAAATTTTTAATATGATAATAGTCAATGATCATGTTCACTACATGATCACTGCGCGGGAGTATAATTGGATGTTTTTGCGTGTAATCTAATGCGGAGTTCGAAAGACGACCACCAATGCGGATTAAACCATTCTCAATAAAAGGCCTTAAACGATTGAAAGCGGGCGAGCAAGGTTTGTTACCTTCAATATTTAAATATTCCACTGCAAAATGCTGTTTTTGCAGGGCGCGGAGCATTATAACCTCAGAGAAACTGAGATCATCAGCAGTCACTACAGTAGTGCTGCGGCGGGGCAATAATTTAGCAAACTTACACACGTACGCAATTATACGTAGAAGTTTACTCCAAGAAGAGATGCGGAGTGCGAGCTCATAAATCGCAGAATTAGAGACGGATATGCACACAGATGTGCGACAAAACTCTTCTCAGGCATATCTGCAATAACCTCATTGTCTAAAGTACGAAGAGGCCATTGATATGGATCTAATGAGGTCCACTGAGGCCCATGGAGCCACAGGGGGGTTTGGTCCTGAATGCACGATATCATTTAATGCTCGCCCAGTGCTAGTCTTACTGCTAGCATCCAGGACGATGCGCAGACGCGTTGACTTCTTATCTTCGCGTAAGACTCCATGATGCGGTATGACATATATTGGAGCGGGTTCATGAGAGTCATACGGCGGTGCGGGGGATATATAATTATTAGCTAAGTATTCCTTTATGACGTCATCATATGCTAACCTTAATGTAGGCGAGGCTTGAAGTTTCCTCTCCAAGCACATGAATCGTCGTCGAGAGGTTTCATAAGAATCTCCGAGAGAGTAAACGTCATCTTTAAATGGCAGGGCGACAATATATCTACCAGTAAAAGAATCGCGGGATGTCGAAGATTTATAAAACTCTTCACATTCAATGTCTGAAGGACACTGAATGGGCGGTGCGGAGGGTGGCTGTTCAAGCTCCCAAAATCGTTGCACTAATTTGTCAACGGTAGGAGACTCTAGAACTGAGCAGCACGTTAAAGAATGATTTACCTGAAGTGTCGGCACTGAGCCCATAATAACGTAACCAAATACCGTATTCAAAGCTGAGGGCCCGGACAAGTCGTTAGACGAATAAATTACGTCTGGACACAGTAAGTGCGGGAAAAGGGATGCGCCTATCAACACATCAATTTTATTAGGCATGCTATAACATTCATCAGCGAGCCTTATGCCATGGAAGTGTGATAAGACAGATGTGTCTACCACAGCGGTGGGCAAAAGGTCGGTGATTTGATCAACAACTAGCGTTGAAATATTGAAGTTAATATTCGAGTCGAATCGTGAGAAAATTTTAATATCAATCGATTTCGATTTTACAATTTTTTCAACTCCACCGAATCCCTTTACTACAGTACATTCGGTATCGTGATGTTGAACGCCTAAACGATGACAGCACTCTTTAGTAATAAAATGGCTTTGAGCCGCGGAGTCTAATAATATACGAATAATTTGTTTCTCTCCCTTAGCATCGTATGCAAAGACTTGAGCGGTTGATAGTAAAACAGTTCTCTGCGAACGACTTACGCGCGCGGGAGGCGGTGAACGTTGAGAAACATTCTTGAACGAAGTACACAGCGCGACGTCTGAACGCGCACCTGCGGTGAGGGGTGGCGAGTGTGCGGGCGCGGGGGCTGTAGACTTCAGTGTAACTGGCTGAGGCGGTGGAGAATGCGCCAGCGCAGGGGAAGCATTATCGCTTCTGCGGTGGAAGTGCAACAATGTGTGATGTTTAAATTTACAAACTCGACAACTATAATTTGAAGAGCAACTAGACACTCGATGACTTAAACTGAGACAATTCACACATGCATTGTTACTCTTTACGCATTTAAATCGTTCCTGCGGCGTCATTTTATTAAAGTTTGCACACTTAAATAGGTGTTGATGCACAATATTATCGCACAGACACTTTGAGCTACTAGTCGTCGTGCTTACGTACGCCTGATACTTCGGCGATGAAGTATTATTACAGCGACGATTATTATCGATACCTCGTCGATTGTTTGGCGCGCTATTAGAATTTATACTAGAATCGGTGCGCTGCAAAACTTTGGAGCGGGTCTTAATAAAATTTACTAAATCATCAAAGGTAGGTACTATCGAGTTATGACTGTATTCGAAGGAGCGAATGGTATCCGGGTCCAGCTTCTTAAGCCCGATATGAAGAACAATTAAGTCCGCGAGATTATCTAACTTTAAGTTTTGTAAAGCGCGCACTGCACTTATAAAGTTATCAGTAAATAAATCAAAATTATTTGCGGTGGCCGATTGCAATGGCTTAAATTCGAACATCTGATTAATATATGTAGATGCTAGCATACGCCGGTCTTCGTATTTGTCAACGAGTGCTTGCAATAAAATCTTATAATTTTCAGCGCAAGGAGTTATACCTGAGCATACAGATAGGGCTTTGCCCGTTAGTTTACCTAGCAAATAGTATAACTTTTCAGCGTCGGTGAGCGATGGGTTGTCATGGACGGTTGATTTAAAGCTAGCATAAAATAAAGGCCATGAGCGAATGTCACCCGAAAATGGCATAAGTTCGATAGGCGGAAGTGTGAATCTGGCTTTAGATGGTGTACTAGTACTTTGTGAATTAGATTGCGAATATTGTAAATAAAGCCTATTTATTCTACCGCAAAGAGACTCAAACGCAATGAGGCTGTTATAATCAGGTTTAGCAATAGGGTTTATTTTTAATAAATGTGAATTATAATTATCTAAGACCTGTTTAAACTCAATACGTAAAGCATTAATATTAGAACTTCCATCAAGAAAACGCTCCATCGTGGAAGTGTTCGTGTGGATGTCCGAGGACATATCATATATTTTTTGCACTATTTCAAATAAAGCATCTCGTTTAGCTAACAATAAAACCAACTCAGCATCAGGTGTGCCCTCATTATCCGAGGAATCGCTATTATTCGATGCTATTTGTTTTTTAGGCGGCATTACGGCTAAAGTTATACGGCAAAATATAATTATAAGCGGGTAGTCTCTAAGCGAACTCGCTACGCGGTTGAATTATTAAATATTAGTTTTGTTAACGATGAACTTTAATTGTTAACTTTTATAATAATTATGAAGTTATTTATAACGAATATAATGCTTAAATATATATGCAAATAATAAATGTAATTTAACTGTATAGTCTATAGATGTAGTTAAAAGTTGATGACGTGATGTGAACATACAACAAAATAATTTATATAGATAATTATATGCTTATTCATTCTATGAATATAGTTTTAAAATTACTATGGATGTCACCTATTAGGACCTATTTTAGTGTTCTAATAAGGGCGGGGTCAATCCGAAGTCGGATTGAAATATAAATAATTAATTATATAAACGCTTATTACGATAACGATCTAATAAGGGCGGAAAGTCAAGGTCAATCCAGCGAGAAGTGACCATTAAAATGGAGACGCCAGTAACTTAAGGTATCTTCGATAAAGATTTAGTGGACTGTAATTTTGGTGCATACGGCAAAGGGGAAAATAAATAGGTGGGATAGCACGCACTGACCTGATGAGGGCTGCCTCGCCTTCCTCCTGGAGTGTCTGCTATACAGCGAGCTCGCCACGTGGTTCGGCGCACACGCACTCTCGGAACAGTTTCGTGAAGTCCCACACTCTCGACCTTTGCCCTTACGGGGGCGTCTCACACTTTTATGAGTTACAAAGACACAATGTCTGATGCGGTGAGTATTAAAGATAAACAGGAGAACTTAATGTTCGTCCTGCGCGGTTCGCGGTTAATATATATAAGACGCGACGGCTGGCCGTGCGTTGCGGATGGCGTAATGTCACTTAGTATAATGACGCGCGCCGAGATCCTTTCCTTCACCTCGGCGGCAGCGCGTGCGGTAGGAAAGGGAAGGAAGGAAGGAAACAAAAATATGCACTAGTCATGTTGATAAAGTAGTAGAAACTTAGGACGAACTCAATGCGATGAGTAATGTAATGTTGATAAAGTAGATTGTTAACTGGCGTTACCAAAGGGAATATAATGTAATATAAAGAATATTATGTAACGTAATTACCGCACACCCTCAGACACCCCAATTAGTATAGTTATACTAATTCCGGAAGAATGTTGTGGTCACAGTACAAAACCACCAACGCAAAGACTTTAACGTGCTTGAAATAAAGTTCATTTTTCTTTATTTTTATTGAATGACAGAATTAGTAATAATACTGCACTTTTAAAAGTCTTATTGCCTTAAGTTACGGTCCATTTCAGTTTGTTTTAACTGTACAGATTTAGTGTGACTGTAATTTACGTACGTTATTTTTATGATAGGAATCGATTCAGTAAACGATTCTGAACAAACTACTTTCTCAAAGTGCGTTAATTATGTTACATGTTGTATATATATATATAATGGGAATCTCGGAAACGGCTCCTACGATTTTCATAAATATAAGAAGGTAAATTTTGACACTATGTTAATGATCGTAATAGCTCAAGTGGATATCGAGCGGTCGCGAAATCGTAATGACTTGGTTCACGTCTTGTCTTCGGTCCGACTTTTTTCCTTTTTTCAAGTTCCCTTCTTTTGTGAGAAAATCTATTATTTCGAGCCCTTTTTTTTAAGTTTTTTTAAAAATACTAAAATTTTAATTAAACTAATTGCACGCATGATTTTTTATTCAAATAACCAGTTCAGTTTTTTCTATTATGTAAATAAGATTAAAAAATGTTATTCATGTTTCATCAGTATGTAATTTGTATTTAAATGTAATTTCAAAAAAAAACCCGAGCAAAGCTTGGTCATCCAGGTGCTAGCCATAAAACAAGAGATAAATGAGCAAGTCGTTTACCATGAGGCAGCTTGTGGTGTGTGTCCCGTGCGGCGTGCAGGTGCCTCATCATGGCGGCGAGGCGGTCGCGCTCGCGCCGCAGCTGCAGCTCCAGCTGCGCCACCACCTGCATCTGCACACGGGCTTGCGCAGCCGATCTGTCGTCTAACGTATGAGCTGCTTCTAAATGCCTGCAACAGTTATTGCACATTTTTTTTTCTTATAAAATAGTGATGATAAACAACCATAGAATAATACAGGTTGTCCAGTAGGAAAGTTCAATTTTCAAATTTGAATTACACAGCAATGGTTGGCGCGGTGAAGTGGGGAGAGGCCTCAATCGACGCGTCAGGCGTGCGGGCTTAACATAATAACATTCGCGATGGAGCGTTGGACCGAAGCACAACGTGCGCTGCTGCGCTTCGTATATTTTGTTCTCAGTACAATTTTCGCCGACCAAGATACGCCACAAATGTAAACCTTTTGAAAAAGTGGATTAAGCACACCTACTGTATCAACCCAGGAAAATGTGCGCCGAGTAAGTGAATCAGTCCTTGCAAATCCCTGGTGTTCTTTACGTAAGCATTCGGCTGCTTCAGGAATCCCGAAATTAACAGTTCACGTCATAGTCAGGAAAAAGATGCGTTTTCATCCCTATAAAATACAGTTAGTGCAAACTTTAAAAGAAAGTGATTACTTATTACGGAAATCTTGTGCTAAAAAGATGTTGGAAGTTTTTCCTACACAGCGTAGACTCATTAACGATTAGGTCCATTTTCATTTGGAAAGCTATGTCAATAAACATAATTACAGATATTGGGCACCAACAAAACCAAAAGATAGACATCTACGACAGTTACATAATCCAAAGGTGACTGTTTAGTGCGCCATAACCTCTACGGTCAATTCGGAGCGATTTAAGAACATGATCGACAATTTTTGTGCTCCTATTGTAAGAACAGAACGCCGTTTTAACAGAAACACATGGTTTCAACAGAACGGAGCCACATCCCATATCTCCAGAGAGTCGATGGACACGGTAAAGTCACTTTTTCCACAAAAAATGGTATCGAGGTTTGGAGACATCTGCTGGCCACCCAGGTCGCCCGACCTCAAACCATGTGATTATTTTCTGTGGGGCTATCTAAAGAATATCCGGCACCAAATAAACAGTATCTCCCCGCAACTCTGCCAAAAATGTTTCAAAATTTACGAGTCCGATTAGAAGAATGTGTACGAAGAGATGTTAAACATTTGGAGGAAATGATATTCAAAAAATAAAACCCGCTGAGTTTTTTAATATTGTCATATTAATAAAAATTTTGTATTCATTAACTTAGTATTCTTTTTCTTAAATCAAAAATGAACTTTCCTACCGGACACACTGTATAATACATACATAATAGAACGGCGGAGTGGGCGGAGCCCGTCCGCCGTTCTATTATGTATGTATTGTCAACTAAAATGTCACTAACACGTCAATTCACACGTATGAATGTCAACACGAGATGTGTTTTGACGTTGCAATCGTTTCCAAATTTCGCATGCAAATTATTTAGAAAATGCCAAATTGCATGCTATTTACAAAAATAATATGTATTAAAATCCGTCTGTCAACACAGCGAATCGGGTTTGTAATAGTGATTAACTGATAGATAATACGACGTAATTGCTTGTATGTGTGCTCCCGGCGACGCCTATTCTTAGTACAAAATAAGGTTGACAGCCATTCTATTGTGTAATATAGTATTCTATGTAAACAACACACAATACACAGTCCACTTGATGGTAAGGAAACACTGTGGGACATCTAAATCTATCCTCAAATGAAAATGAAGAAGAATCACAATGCAGATGCGTTGTTACCCATAAGTACTAAGATATAATACCTCTTTCTCATTTCTTATAAAAAGGGTCTCTGGTTCTCTATAGTCATCATACGAAACAGCAGTTAATGCTACTAGAGAGTTTTAGCGGGAACTTGGCCGTAGACGGATTGTCGCTCCTGTTTTATCGCTTGAATAATGGTTTGAAGTGGGTTTTCATTCGTAAAAGTGATGCGATTTTGTGAATTAAGTGTCTACGAGTGTGAACTATTAGACAAAACGACAAAAGCACTTGGCTTTGATGTTAAGTGGACTTAAGTGGCTATCGTCATCAACAGTCCGCTGGGTTGAGCTGTCGTCAAATTCTCCTAAAAACTTCGCAATGTGTCGCATCAGTATGTTGTGAAGAAAAAATATATAAAATGAAGATTCACAAATAAATGATAGGCTCAGAAAGGCTAGAACCAAGAGCCGTAAAGCCAGCTAAATAAAAAAAATTAATGCCACTATTTCACGCTGATATTCTGTGAGAGCGTGGTCTCCTCTGCTGTACATCCTGTTCACCAACGACATTGCCATCCCGTCGAAAGGTGTTCAGCTCTCCCTCTTCGCAGACGACACTGCTATCAACTGCAAAGGTGTCTCACTACCCTTCATACGGAACAAGATCCAAAAGTCAGTTGATGACCTAGGAGCTTGGTTCAAAAAATGGCGCATCGATGTGAACCCGGAGAAGAGCTCCGCCGTTCACTTCGATTATAAACGACGCCGTCTTAAAAACACTCCACCAATACGTATGCTAGGGACCCCTGTCCCCTGGCATACGACCACCAAATATTTAGGTGTCACTCTAGACACAGGGCTCACTTTCAGGCCCCACGTCAAAAGAGTAACCCGTCACGCACGGTTTTATCTGAGTAGGCTCAACAGTATGTTGGGCCGACACAGTAAAATGTCCCTTAGAAACAAGCGTACCCTTTATAAGGTCTGTATACGACCAGTCATGTCATACGCGGGCCCCGTTTTTGCCCACGCCAACCCCAAAATCATTAATGAACTCCAAATAGTTCAAAACCTTTTCTGTCGTCGAGCTGCGAACGCACCTTGGTACGTCCGTAATGCTGACCTTCATCGGGACCTAGAGCTCCCCACTATCCAACAATTTCTCCAAAAACTCTCTGAGAACTTCTTCAAAGCCTCAGAGTCGCACTCAAATCATTTAATTCGTGAGGCAGCCACTTATGCAGCCCCACCCCCCTCTCGCTATCGAGTCCGCAGGCCGAGAAACTCTCTCTCGGACCCGCCTAATAAACTAACTAACGACCTGAACTGCCTCCTGGCGGCTCAGGCCAACTCTAATTAAATTAAATTATCATATTAACTAATATTAATTTGCCTTCGTAGGCACTCCCTCAGCGGCTCGTAGCCGCCTGCGCCCTCTTTTCCCAAAAGAGGGTCGCTCATGATAAGGCACAATACAGCTTAATCAGCCGGTTGCCTGTCCCCAAAGGCGGTTTTTAGAGGGTATCACTTAGGGTCCCCGGTAGGACAGTGAGCCCCTCATAACCACGATAGACCGGCTATCGTGGTATGCGTAATGCATTTTCCGCCTCCCTACGTATAGGGTAGCCCTTTAATTGCTCCGGGCGTAAAAAAAAAAAAAGAGAGCGTGGTCCTACCTCAGTCGAGCCAACACATTCGTGCTACAACAATAATTCAGCTTCAGCGTCGCTCTACCACTTAAGAATAATTAATATAATTTAAAAATGGTATCAAACAAATTTTAATACCTAACCGTTATTTATAATAAAAAGGATTTCGGAAATAGAGAATTAACTGAAATTTTATGCAGCAGGTAGGAAAAGGGTCGCAGCAGGACTGTAAAAACTACCGTGGCATCAGCCTACTTAGCATTGTGGGAAAACTGTATGCTGTACTGATTGAAAGGGTCATGAAAGAAACTGATGGAAAAATTTGGGATGTGCAAGCGGGATTTAGAAAGGGAATGGGATGTCCAGATCAAGTCTTTTCCATGCGCATGATCGCGGAGAAGTTTTTGTCCAAAAACCAAAAGGTTTTTTGTGCGTTCATGGACTTAGAAAGGGCCTATGACAGAGTGGATAGGGATGTGCTATGGCAAACACTGAACTCATTTGGCTTGAGCGCTGGCTTGATACAGGCATTGGAGTCTCTTTATAGGGACTCTAGTGCTTGTGTTAGGATCAACGGGGTTTAATCGGACTGGTTTGAAATCCATAAAGGTGTCAGACAGGGCTGTGTGGCTTCCCCGTAGCTTTTCAACCTATTTATGGACAGTTGTTTGCAAAATTTGAAAGTTGAAGAATGCGGATTAAGAATGGATGAGTTAACCGTCAAATGCCTTTTGTACGCCGATTATCAAGTTATTCTTGCGTCGTCGGCGGCCGAGTTGCAAAAGATGGTTACATTAATGAACAGATCATTAAAATATAGGGGTATGAAAGTAAACTCAAGTAAGACGAAGGTTATGGTTTTTGAAAGAGAAGAAAGTAAAACGATTTGTTAAATAAGAATAGAAGGGGAGTTGATCGAGCAAGTAGATGAGTTTGTATATTTGGGTTGCGTATTTAGCAGGGATGGGAGATATGATAAGGATATAGAACGACGAGTGAATGCGGGAAATAGAGTAAATGGGCCCTGCACTCTATTGTGAAGAGTCAAAATGTGTCGAAAAAGGCACGTATGGCAATTCACAATGCTGTGTTGGTCCCTACTTTAACGTATGGTAGTGAAAGTTGGGTGTGGCAGAAGAAGCACGAGAGTAGAATGAACGCATAAAATGCGGTCGTTAAGGAGTATGTTAGAGCTGAATCTGAATGACAGGGTAAGAAATTGTGTAATAAGAGAAGAGTGTGGTTTGCAAGATGATGTTGTGACCAGGATTAAGAAAGGAATGCTTCGGTGGTTTGGTCATGTGGAAAGAATGAACGAGGAAAGAATGACAAAGAAAATTTATGTTGCAGAAGTGAATGGCAGAGTCGGAAAGGGACGTCCTAGGCGAAAATTTATCGACCAAATTGGCGATTTATTGAATACGGGCCAAATTAGGAGTACCCTTAACCGACGAGCATGTATGCGTAGGTGTATGGATGTGAAGGAGGCGAGAGAGGTGTGTCAGGATCGTGCCAAGTGGAAGTCTGTAGTCTCTGCCTACCCCTCTGGGTGACAGGCGTGAGTGTTTATGTATGTATGTATTTATGTAGCAGAAGAATAACACTTAGAGAATTAGAAACTTTCGAAACCATTGTAAAATAGGTACAAGCTTTCCTGTCAAATTTGGGATCAGAATTTGAAATAAGAGGACAACATAATTGAAATTTTGTATTATTATAATAATTAGTTCTTACTTGAATATATAATTAAAATAATATTCGCAACAAACTATGAACTCACTTGAGGAATGCCTGGTAATCATCAGCGAGAGCATCACAGCCTGGCCATTTACAGACTCCGCGCCCAAAAAGAGGATGCTCCTCCATTTCACTTCCCCATAACATCAGACCTAAAAGTAGCAAAGTAATACGTTTTTTATATTCCAACAAAAGCCTAGTCATGTAATGAAAAATACCTAAATTATTGAGATTTTACTAACAAAACACAATTACAATAAAATAAATAAAGAAGTTCGTCAGAGACTAGGTCATTAACATTAAGAGTATGGTTTTAATTTTGACGGCTCTATGGCCTAGTAGCTTAGCAATGAGTTGCAGCGTTCAGGCCCATCGATTCAAATCTCTCAAGTAAGAGTATTTATCACAGATGGACCGAATATTCGTTTCATATTCGGTATTCGGCATGTCCGGCAGCTTTACCGAATATTCGGCTAAATCACTGAACATTCGTAAAAGTGGTATTCAAAGTGTCCACTCTATTAAAATGTACGAATTGAGTACCTAATGCCATGTCTCATCATTTTTTTTAGTATTTTATTTATGAGTTAAATCCGCTTGTATAGCGTTATGATTTTGAGACATTGTAGATTTATTTCCAATTATAGCAAATAGAAAGTGTGATAAATTTTTTTTGGAATTAAACAAAGAAATATTACATTAAATTAGTACATTTCACTTTACTTTAGTTGTCAGTTTCTCTAAAATGAGTCCACATAGTGGATCTCCCGCCACTCATTTTTATGATATAATTATCAATTTTTACTAAGAATAATACAACGAAAAACTTTTTTCTCAGAAAAGTCAAAACATAAGGTATTATGTCCCGGTAATTTCCTCAGTACTAGATGATGCAATAGTATGTCAGGTGTGGGGGGGGAGCGAGGGGCGGGGTCCATTGCTAATCCCGCTCGATTTATGGTAACAAGTTTCGACATAATTTGGTTAGGTACCGAGGTGATCCTGCGAATGATGTTTGGCCGAATATTCGGTTCGGTTAAAGTTTTACCGAACTTTCGGCCGAATATTCGTATTCGGTGAAATCCATATTCGGCCTGTAGTATTCATATCTAATCATTGTTCCGGGTCTGAACGTTTATCCTTGTGACATGTATGTAAACTGTCTCCATGATACGGGAGAAAATCTTAGGATGGGAGTAACATTTTTCACAACATGTATAGTGAAGTTGTAACAATATCCTCTACCCCATATCGTCCCGTAGATGTAGTAAGAGGCGACAGAAGGATATTAACCAGATGTTTCCTGAGTTCCAAGCAAGGTAACTTTTGCAAAAAGGCTTAAATTCAATAGTGAACTTTATGGTGATAATGTTGATAATGACTTTAACACTGTTGGATTATTGTCGCGGATAACAAAAAAATCCCCATAGCCACAGCTGCAAACATCTCCAAATCTGCCAATTTTTATACAAATACTGGTTTCGTCTCGCATTTCAATTTAGGACCTACGGTTCCATAGGCACGCTGATTACACAAATTATGAATCTATTGAAAAAAGTATATTTGGAAAATCCAAAATGCACGCTTCACCAAAGATTTATATAGTTAACTATATAAATCTTTGCGCTTCACACGCTTATGTCAAAAATTAAAATTAATAGAAATGAAAATATTGACGATAATTTTTACAAGAATATAAACAGAGAATCTGATCGACTTTCATTAATAACTTTTAAACGGTGTTGAGTTCAATAACAAAAATCAATGGGATCCTTCTTAGAATATATGGAATCTTATTAAATACTATATAATATCAATATATTGCTTACATTTCTATCAAGCGAGAAGACACCGTCGCACAGACCAAAGAACGGCAGTCCATATATTTTTTCAATTACACTTTTTGTTATGTAATCCAAAGTGAATTAATCAGAAAATAAACTAAACTAATAACTCAATGTCTGTAGTTATTGTAACGTTAATAACAATATGAATTTCATGTCTAGCTAAAAGTATAAGAACCATTTTATGTTCACGTTACATAACCGGAATTTGAACAGGCAATATATGTATTGTCTTTCATGAGTGTACATGTAATAGTATTTACAAAACTATGACCTAGGCAATGCACTGAGTAACTTAAGGTTATGTGACTATAGACCAATATAATTTGTACACTGCTATGAGAAGTAGAATACACAGAATGTCGGAAAGCTTTTGTGACCTCTGATAGATAACTGGCAAACGGGAGCAGCGAAAAAGTGCTAGACACCTGGACTGCAAACGTAATCCACCTACGTAATAATTTTTGCAAAAGCCCTAAAATTGAAGACATCTACATCTAGCAGTGAACTATTAATGGACAATATAGAAGTATCATAATCTTCTAGTTCAGCAGGTATTTCCTAAAGGCACCTGAAGTTTATGACTTCTTAAATTTACGCGAACACTACACATTGAAAAAAAAATATTATTAACGGATTTTATCGCATTTAATTACTACTTTTATTTATTTTTATTATCCTGACGTTTCGGGTGCTTTACAGCACCCATGGTCACGGGGGAGACTGAGATGTTTGACGTCCCAATGTCATAGTTAGTCCGGCTACCTTCAGTTTTTGAATATTAATTTTTGGTCCGATTTACGCAAAACGAGCTTATAATATCATAAAATCTTGCAGTGGTATGCTTGGGTTTGGGTTTAATTTTGTTAATAATAAGATTCCAAGCAGATGGCAGCACCCATCCATCTTCTCTATTGAAATTTGGATGTTTTTTAATTTTAATAGCCTCGCGTATCATCCTTGGTAGGATTAGGTGTTCTTTTGCGAGGATTTGTGGTTTATCAAATCGAATGTAATGGTGGGGACGATCTTGAACATGTTCGCAGACTGCAGACTATCCGTCTCCTTCACGCCTCGATGTCCTTCACCTGAAGGTTGTCGCGAAAGCATCATACAATTTCTCACAGATAAAAAGTATAAAACATTCCTGAAAATGCACGTATAACTGCCGATACAGTTTCTGTAGAATGCGTTGCTAAATTAAAATAAGTGGCGCACAATGGAACCCCTTTTACCTTTATTTTAGTATGTGTTTTATTTATGTAGAACATAAACTAAAAAATCAACCATACTACTAAATTATATCAAAATATGTAAAATAAAAAATCAGTTAAATGATCATTACTAAAAGATTAAGAACTACTGTTCTAGTCATTGTTAACTATACTGGATGAGAAAATATCTGTCAAACAAGTTCTAAAGTAGATTAACTTAATTACTATGTTAAAACTGACCTGGGGGAGCATTTGGAGGCACAGACAGGGGTCCGTGCATCAAATATTGACGTTGTACAGCTTGAAGTTGCTGCACCAGTTGCTGCTGTTGAGCTCCGAGTTGTTGCTGAAGAGAACCTTTTGGAAGAAACATCTCTTGCTGACTAAATTGTCGTTTAATTAAACATAAATGTGCACAAATCCTTAATCTCTATATCTAAAATGAAATAAAATAAATTGCTATCCGTTAGTCTCACAAAATCTCGAAAATGGCTCGACCGATTTTGATGAATATTTTCTTGCGTATTTGTATGGGTATCAGATGGTTTAAATTTACAAATGGACACAGTAGGTGGCACTATCGTCGAGCTATCACCTTTGACTAGAGAAAAAAGAAATGACATGAGTGTTTGAGACGTATCACACGAAAGAATTTTTTTCTAAATAAGCGCCACATTATCGATAGTAAGTATAGTGCGCAACACTACGTCAAGCCGCCATCTTTGTGCCAGACTAAGTTTAGGTATACACGTTTTTTTCGTAGGTATGTACATGTCCTATCTTTCTTCTTTAGTCATTGGTCACTGTGGATAAAAAGAAAAAGGTGAAAATGAATGGTCGTTTATTTAAGAAATCGTATCGATATTTTCCATTGCTATAATGAAAGCTTAAGTGTAATTGTTCAACTTACTAGGTGATGTATCAGGTGGTTGAAGATGAGACTGCGATAGCAAATTCAGATTTATCTGATCTTGCAGCCGCGATTGCTCCAGCTGCCTTTTCGCTGCTTCCGAAGACATATGCTGAGGAATGTAACCATTTGTTAATAATCAGATCTCATGTACGACTATATTTCGATTATGTACTAACTTAAAATCATTTTTGTCAACTTTTTGTACATAACAATTACAGATTAAATTGCAAATGCCAATAAAGAAAAGAATAATTTGAAATAACAAAATATAAAATATATTATAATATTAACACAGTATAAAGGAATTTTCTCGTTAAGCCGATAAACTGTTTTTCTAACTTAGGAAAACAGTTCTTTGGCTACAGCGATGCTTAATATAATATTATTATAGAGTTCCGTCAGACATAAAACGAGCGACTACCTCACGGTACAAAAGACGTTCTCAGAGTTACTTTTGGCCGTGGAAGAAAAAGGGGAAATCTCCCGCCGGGCAAGGTGTTCAACCTGGGGAGCGGCCAACGCTTCAAGTGTAATTACGGAGCTGTTCTCTATACAGGCTGTCCGATAAGGAATGGAAACCCAGCAGGTACTAACTAGTGAGGGCACCTCGAACACTCGGAAAAAAATAAAATAAAAAATATATCTGTCGTCTGTAAATTAAATTAAAAATATTCTGGATAAAAATACTTTTTATTTACTGACCGAACTTTTATCAGCGTTAGAAAAAAATAAAACTTAGATTGGAAAGTAAAACTTTGTCTAAAAATACAAAATTTTATCTATACCGTTATAGTCATTTCTGAGAGACTAGTTTTAAGATAATTATAATAGAATCAGGCGTTACTTTGCGGAAATCCATTATATTAAAAATGTTAAGAGTTAATTTGCAACCATCCGCTTAATAAAATAAAATGATGTGTCTTACCTAGTTTGAAGAGCACCTCCCGCCCTCCCTCAATTGTGTGCACTAATTCCGTTATCACTAATCCCAGCACCACTACTCCCAATACCACTACACTAGGAAAGACACCGCCTTCACACTGTCTTGACTGACCGCTAAGCAGTCTTGACTTAGAGTCAAAATATATTAAATAGGTTTGATTGTTTATAGATAAAACAATGATTTTATGCGTGGTAGACATATGTTCTAGCTATTGGGCTATTGAGAACAAGATCTCTGTGGCGAAGTTATGAATCATATTACGCGAGTTGGTAACAAGTTTTTCTCGGAAATGAGACCTGGCTAGATCGATTTTTCAACTCGTAAAATAAGTATAGCCCCTCGTCTGTACAAACGCCATATTCTGGCGTCTCAAATAATATGCGCATCTGTCAAACGCCATAATATGGCGTCGAGTGATAGCAAACTATTTGTAACATATATATGATATATATATATATATATATATATATATATATATATATAAAATGTTATGACTAATCTGATAGCTTATTTAATAACGTTTCTATTGATATATGATTTCAATATACTTACTTAGTATATATATACATATATACTTAGTATACCTGTTATATACTAAGTACTTCGGAAAGTGCTCGACAGATGCGCCATATTGGCCAAAATGAACCCGACATTCGAGTGGATAGGATGTAGCAACACACAGCTCAAATTAGTGGGAAGCTATTGAAACCAGTTACTGAGAATTGGATATTGCGATAATTCTTCAATATGTCATGTCTTGATCATATTATGGTGAAGTAATATCAGATTTACGTCGTGATTCATCACCCATTTTAGTTTCATGTGTGTTGTAAATGTCAACAAAGAGAAATCTCTGAAAGTCCTCTTGGCCCCGACAGATAACGATTCTCAAATATTCTGTCCTTTTAATCTTTTAAATTCAGAATGCGTAGTAACTATTTTAAATGATTGTCATTCATAAATATCTAACGCCTATTATCTTACTACGCACGCGCACATTCTTAAGGGGAAATATTAAAAATAATACCCCAAATGGCTTAGCAAGATCCTCCGTTATGCCGAAAATATTGCAGCATTAATTTTGAAATAAATATATGGTAAAGTTGAGGATTAATGTTAGGTTGTGTATTAGACGAAAACACGATTCCGTAAAATTTTCTAGATAGAAAAAAATCCAAAGTTACCTCCAAACTGAACAATAAACCGCTGTTATTCATAAAATACTTTAAATTAGATCATGAAACTTTCACCGTGGCTGTTTAATCTGTTCATGGACAATTGTTTGACAGATTTAAAAGAGAATGAAAGTGGGTTGAGAATTAATGAGTTACTCGTCAAATGTTTTCTCTATGCTGATGACCAAGTATTACTTGCGTCTTCGGCCGAGGAGTTGCAGGAGATGGTAACTGCTATGAGTGGAGCTTTTGTTAGAAAGGGAATGAAGATGAATGTAAGGAAGACGAAAGTGATGGTGTTTGAAAAAGATGAGGCAGTGACAGACTGCAATATCGTGATTGAAGACGAACAAATTGAACAGGTGAAAGAGTTTGTGTACCTGGGGTCAAAGTTTACAAGAGATGGAAAGTGTGAGAGTGATATCGAAAGAAGAGTGAATGCAGGAAACATGGTGAATGGAGCTTTGCACTCCTTTATGAGCAGTCGGAAAGTGTCTAACAAGGCTAGTTTGGCTGTGCATGAGGGGGGTGTTGGTTCCGACACTCATGTACGGAAGTGAAAGTTGGGTATGGCAGAAGAAACATGAAAGTAGAATAAATGCAGTTGAGATGAGAGCATTAAGAAGTATGATAGGAGTTAAACTGAGTGACAGGATAAGAAATAGTGAGATAAGGAACAAAAATTGAGAAAAGTATGCTGAGATGGTTTGGCCACATCGAGAGAATGAATGAAGAACGATTAACGAAAAAAGTGTATAAGGCGAGTGTGAATGGAAGTGCTGGAAGGGGTAGACCTAGGCGGACTTTTCTAGTCCAAATTAGGGACGTCTTGAAAAAAGGCCAGGTTAAGAGTACCCTAAACCGTGGAGCATGTATGAAGGGAATAATGAAAGTAGACGAAGCGAAACAAGTATGTAAGGATCGTAGCAAGTGGAAAGAAGTGGTCTCTGCCTACCCCTACGGGAAAGAGGCGTGATTATATGATATGTATGTATGTATGAAACTTTGCATACTAACTGAACTAACTATAAAGCAGGGCTTATGTTTTTTATTTATTTTTTAAATTACCATTATTTTCACTGTAAAAAGAAATTACCTAAACTATCGGCGTTTTGGAACCTTGTTTCCTGTCGCCCATTTAGTCTCGCTTCGGCTTTTGAACGGGGAAGCTGTGTCACTTACGATCAGAATATACATTACGCTACAGGATGACGTAAAATTAAAATGAGAAATAACCGTAATAAAAATAAGAAGCGACTGGTTTGGCGTAAAGAAACAGTCAAAGTCTAAGTATAGGTATCTAACGACCTATCTTCTTACAGTATTAGTGATTATAAACATGTCGTTACACAGCTTTCGACGCGCGTGGAAGTGGGGTTGAAATTAGAATTAGAGCGGAGTTACTATATCCTCTATATAGCTCTGTTGGCAAAATCGTTGTGAATTTAATCGCACACAGACGGGCGTTAGTACCTACGCATTGTTTTTACCCATAAATCACATTTAATTTGTGATAATTTCAAATGAAAGTATCTTCAAAAACTGCAATAACGGTATATTATTATTTATATATTATATTATATGAACTTAAATATAAAATTTTGATATTCTTTGAAATATAGAACCTATATATGCGAAACGCGAAGCAATGATAAAAGGAGAAATCTGGTACCTCCGGTAGCAATCCTGTCACGAGATACAATCATAGCAAAATTAACCTAAACTAATAGATCTTTTTCAGCAGTACATTTTTTACTGGAAGGTACAAAATATGGTGACAAAATATTCCTAATCTCCTTTTCCTTATATTTTTTTAAAATTAAATACCTGTTTCTGCATATGATGTTGATGGAACAGCCGTTGTTTCATCAGCGCTTGTAACTGTGAGTGCTGATCAAGAAGCTGCATCGCTAGCAAGTCCGGAGCAACTAGCGGTAGCGGTGATCGAGGCCCGGCAGTGCCTCCCACGCTGCCGGCGGGGGAGACCGGCGCTGGGCTTGACTGAGTTGACCCACCGGTGGGCGATGTTGGGGCTGACGCCTGGGTATATAATGTTAAAGATTAATTTTCGAGCACCAACCAAAAGTTCGTTTTATCATTCTGTATGCCAGAGATGAGCAAAAAGAGATTCTTATTATGTTAAGCGTCGTCGTCGGCAATTCTACTGTAGAAATGAATCGTAATCGTAATGTTAAAATAAAATAATCAGCTTTCATCAAACTGAAGCCCTGAATGATTCGCATATTTCAGTCTAATCGTAGCAATATCGTAGTTGTAGTAGTGCGACTGCTGATCATGAGGTCCTGGGTTCGTATCTCTGGTCAAAACATTAATTATTGAGTTTTTCCGTTAAGAAAATCTCAGTAGCTGCCCGGAGTCTGGAAGGCGGTGTCTCACCCCTCTACCTCAGAACGCACGTAAAGCCGTTAGTCCTGCACCTGATCTCTCTCCGGGCATGCCGGTTTACCGTCCCATCGGATTATGAGATCCCATATATGATAATCCGATGGGACGGTAGGTGTCAGCGCTTGGTATGCTGGTGTCCGTTACCGGAGATGCCTTGCCTAGGCGTCCTTCCTTCCGGCCGCAACAACGGATCTTTTACTCCCGGCAGCAATGAGTGCTTTCACAAAACACTCCCGGCAGCAATCCCGGTCCTTCTATCTCCTGGCAGTAATCCCGGTTCTTCTAATCCGGCAACTACAGTTCCAATTCGATCTCCAGTGTCATTGCAACAGCCAACAGGCACTTCATGCTGGCCTGGGACTTGGCTCCGAACAACCAAATATGAAACGGCACTCTCGTGCACCTGTGCTTACGTATACACTTGAGAACTATAATCCTGTCCTGCACCTATGGTTATTCTCCGTTGAGGCAGGCCGCCGTGACCGGAATTCGGTCTGTAGGACATTATATAATTATCTCTATTGTCTACTATTAAAAATTCCTAATTAACAGACTATACAACAAAGATGCACAACCACAAATGTTGGAGAACGGATGCAACGCGCTACGAAACCCACCTGTGATGGGCTATACCGTTACCCGTATAGCCTATTAAAGTCCCATACGTGGGTTCATAGAGGGGATGTTTGTCACACGTGCCGCGCTTGGCCAGCGGGTTGGCAACCGTAGTTTATTTTTCTACCCTGCACCTAGTTTTAGTTTTATAAGCGGCAAAGCCACGCAAAAGCAAAGACACGGTACATGGCAAATTTCTCTTTATAAAGTGTTTAATGATCGAAAGTTAAAATGAGATCTAACATTATTTTATAGAATATTAGCAATCTGGATCACTAATATTCTTTAAAATAATAATAATTAATAAACAATTCTGGATCAGGATTCTACAACAGCGCCACCTACCGAGTCCAACTACGTCCATAACCTTTACGGAAGTGCGAGCATTATGTTGACAAAGTTTTATCGCAATCTGATGCAACGAACGATATGGCAGCGCATAAAATACGAACAAACAAACATTAATTTTTATAATTATATTAGGTGAGTGACAAAAGAGCACACTGTCCACGTAAAGGTAAGTGGATGTTGTGGCCCATGGACATCTACATCTATCTGGGACCACGTTACCCTCACGTGGTATATAAGAAGGGAATGCAAGAGAAGTTTCCCTGCGCCCTCCTTTCTGTAAAGGAGGGTCGCGTCCGTTTACGGCTTAAAGATCTCTTGTCAGATCGGTAAGCCAAACCCAAAAGGTGGAGTTTAGTGAGTAAAGGTCTCCACATAACCACGCAGCCTGCTGCGTGGTATGCTATGAGCATTCTCCACTTCCCTCCCCCGTTACCGGAGGGTTGCCCTTAATTGCTTCGGGCGCAAAAAGAGAAAAAAAGAGAAGTTTACCCTGGCGAGCGAGAGTGGCTCATGGTCGCGAGGCGGCGAGGCGCGACGCGGCGGCGAGCTGCGCCGGCGCCGGCGGGCCGCCTCCCCCCACCTGCCCGACTCCTCTCTATAACACAAGCAGAGTCAGATATCTGCTCGCAAGTCTCCTATTTAGGCCTGCCAACTCGGCAATAGTCATTTGAGGGATTTCCTGCTGTAATATCCGGAACTTGAGCATGTATATGTACGTATTCCATGTTCCACGCATAAAAACTTACAATTTTTAACCAAAGATGACTCCACACACCTTCTTTACTTCAAAAAATATAGATGTAAAAAAGAAGCCTGTCAAGCATATTTAAATAAAAAACAATTTTTTTTAAATTACTTTGCCCTAAACCGTACTGCGAAGTGACAAGGTCAAAGATGCCTACTAAATTTATTATTTTATTGCCATTCGTAAAGCAGGGTGGATATGATTTGAATTTCGATTGTTTACGTGGTAGAGCCCTGCTGCAGTTATATTGTCGTCGAACGGGGGGACCGGGGTAAAATAAAACAAGCTTAAGGCTTTCGTATGGTTAGGGGTTTCGTATGATGAGTCTTAGAGAACCGGAGAACCTTTTTAGTGGAAACAAGGCATTCCATCTCAGTCCTCAGGGCTGACAACGAATCTACATTTTGATTATTAATTAAATATAAATTTAGATGTCTACGGTCCATAGCATCCACTTACCATCAGGTGGACTGTGTTCTCGTTTGTCACCCTTAGTTTATAAAAAAAGATTTTAATTTATTTGTTTATTTAATTCAAAAATTTTGTTTTTATTTTTTTGTAAACTTCTACACCGTTTACACGTTACGATCTATTTTTTTCCAGACGGTAAAAAAGGTCATCCAGTATAGTGGCTTACTTATTGTAAAATACGGTATTATAATCATAAAATAAGAAAAATTTTAAGTATTGAATAAAACAATTTTTGTTTTTATGGCGTTTAAATGTAATAATTTTTGATTCATGACGTATCGGGTGCTTGCGGATGCGAGGGAGACTGAGGTGATTGACGTCGCGATGTCAAAGTTAGCTCCCTTCAGCTTTTTAATTTTTACTTTTGGTCTGATCTACGCAAAATGAGCTTTAGGAGTAGCTGTAGGATTACTTTTAATTTTATTAATTACAGTATCTCAAGCAGGGGTATTCAGCCCCTTTCTCTATTGAAATACCGAAGTTTTTTTAACAGTGGCCTCACGTATCATTCTTGGTAGGAATCGAAGTTCTTTCGCTAGGATTTGTGGTCTATCAAATCTGAATAAAATGGCAGGGGGCCGTCTAGGATATGATCACAAACTGCAGACTTCCCGGGGCGTTGGTGTTTCACGTCCGCTATAATATGTACTTTTAATAAGTAAAATTAAACGCGATAAAATAAACATAAATAGTTTAATTCAATGTGTAGGTCTTTGATTATATATCAAATGTGTAGGTAGTGTTCGTGTGAATATAGGAAATCACTAAATTAAAAGTATTTCAAGCAAAGAAAATCAAATTAAAAAAGTCATGTATCCTTTCAAAAGAATAATGGATTGAAGTGCCGCTTCAAGAGACTAATTTTAATTAAGTAGCACTCACCGATCCAAACAGCGGTCCAGCTCGAATGAGTTGAGTAGCGGCGGCTTGGCAGCACCACCCGGGCTTGAGTTCAGTGCCGGCTCCGGACCCTGATAACAAATAACAATTCAATTTAAATGGGAACAGTGACTCCTTTATTCGAGTTCATTATAGTGCACTCACATACAACTTTTTATTATTCTTATTATTGCTTGACTACTTGATAGTAGTCCCATCATACCGTCATATCGGGTAATGGGAGTGAGGGAATAGGTAGTGTACCTGTGCTCGCGCTTACGCTTAGGCACTGTAATTCTGAACTACGCAGATGGCTTGATTCTGTTGGATCTACCTACCGTGACCGAAACTCAGTCATAAACCCACTGCTGAGCATAGGCTTCCAAAAGCAATAAAATAGAGTACATCCTTTTGCCACCTGCATTAGTGATGCAACAAATACGAATACGAATATTCGTATTCGCCGAATAGTAGACATTTACCGAATATTCATATTCGGCCGATACTAATCACAAATATTTAAAAACTATTATTTTTGTACGCAACTCTAATTACTGGCAGGCTTGGAAACCCGCGTAATCGACACGAAAAAATACGACGAATGCATAGATCTTTAACTGTAACGACGGGGCTCCGGAAGATTCCCTATCACTGCGAAGTGCGAACCCTAGATTGATTCATTCATTTCATTTGATAGGCGAACGAAAGCACAGGTCAAGCAAGAGAGTTTTGTTTAATTTAATTGTTTTGTGAGATTGCTGCAAAGTGAAAGGAAGAAGTTGAAGCTCGCTCAAAACTATTGTACTATCATCTCGGAAAGGCTTTTTTCAACAACTGTGAACATTCAGACTGAAAAAATAAATCGCCTAAAACCAGAAAATCTACAAATTTTATGTTTTTTTAAACTTGCCTAGACCTTTACAATAATAGAAAATCATCAAATGAATTAGTTACCATGGCGATATATTCGTATTCGTATTTGTGTTTGCCAAATAGTAGGTTTGATATTCGTATTCGTATTCGTAAAAGTAGTATTTGTTGCATCACTAACCTGTATCCATCGACTTCCTACATTTCAAACGAGATCGTTACTCCAATTATCTTTTTAACTCCCCCCCCCCCCCCCCAACAAAACCGAGGGGTGTTATTTATTTGACGTATGTATCTGTGTGTCTGTCTGTGTCTCCCAAACGAATGAAGCGATTTAGATTAGGTTTTTTTGTTTGAAAGGTGACTTGATTGAGAATTGAGAGTGTTCTTAACTATGACTCAAGAAAATCTTTTCAGCTGTTTGAAGATCATCAGCTCTCTTCATTTTGTTTAATTTTAGGTTTTTATAACTTAAGCTATTAATAATATACTTTCTGTTTATTCATTTTGACGGCTTTACAGAAATAATAAACTTATAAAAAATAAATTTATCCACAATTAATAATTGTAAAGCACTAGAGGATCCTTTTGCCAAATTTTAACAAACAAACGAATTTGTGCGAAATATTCGCTGTTTGTTAATGGTATGTCTGTTAGAATCAGAAAATGTTCTACTCTGTACTATCATGCACATGTTTGAGCACATTGTAAACTATGTAGGTTCCGTATAATATTTAAAACGCTTTTTTTTCTTTCACGAGGCGTTTGGCAGTAAATAAAATGCATGAAAACTCATTTTTAAGACGCCTTTATAAGCTATGTGTGTATCTATTTATCTATGTAACGGAATATTTTAATGTAAATTTTACCATTTTGTAGACTGCCGATTGATGTACTTGTATCAAAGACCAACGATAATACAATAATTTAATAACTTTATCCTGGTATCTCGTTCCTGCTCACATGGACAAAATGAAATACCTTTATCTTTAGCGTGTTTCTTTAGTTTTATTTTTAAACTATAATTTCATTTAAAACAAAATACCAGATCAACTATTTACAAACCGTTTAAAATTTTTCTCATTTTAAATCAAGTGAAATTTATAATTTGCTTAATGAATTTATAATAAGCTGTTTTTAGCCTATGTAAGCCTATTTTAGCCTATGTAATAAAACTGATCGTTACGAAGATAGAAACGCTTCTTGAATATAGGTATCAGACATTAGAGGAGGAATAAATTGATTAAAGATATAAAAACAATGGGTGCGTTTGGCAGAAAAAAGCGCTAGCAAGCGCTTACAAGCGCTGAAATAGTTTTCGGCCAAGACACGATTGCTACTTCAGTAGCGCTGACACAATCCGCCATTTTGCTTATTTACTTTGTTTGTTTTGAAGTAGAGTTTATAAGTTGTTTTGAGCAATATTAGTTTTAAATAATATAATGACATGAATAAACATATATACATGTTATTAAAAATTCACGATCGGTAAGTTTTTAATATGAATACTTTACAAACATATATTTAAATTAGGTTAGGTTCCCCGGTTAAAACTAACATCGTGTCCTGGAGGAAAATAGCTACTTACGATTTGACAGCGCTTACCGCTTACGATCGCCATTTTGCTTACAAGCGCTTTCTAGCGCTTTTTTCTGCCAAACGCACCCATTATGTCTGTCATGAACTATGCTCAAGAAAATGTTTCTCTTTAAAGTAATATTACAGGGGCAACCGACCTAACCGTCCGTTTGATGGTAAGAAGATACTGAAATCCACTGAGACCTGCAATGAAATTCTAACAAAGAAGGTTACATAAGCTTTGCTACTGCCGAGGATTAACATGAAATGAATGTCTCACAATCCATAATTTGAGACGTCTTCAAAGCTATTTAAATAATGTAACATCGCTATGTAATGACAAAATAAGAAAATTCATCACTTATATTTCCGTTCGTGAGTATCGTAAGATACCAGGCGTTTTTCTACCGATTTCAATAAAATTACCATAGATACCATCCACACCATCTGGATGCTTGGCGGTCCACCACTGTACGTTTCACAAGGAGTTTTTTCCACGTACCACCTCTCTGTGGAATAGTTTACCACCGGCGATTTTTCCGGACCGATACGACCTGGGGACCTTCAAGAAAAGAGCTTACTCCTTTCTAAAGGGCCGGCAACGCACCCGCGATTCTCCTGGTGTTGCGGTTGATCATGGGCGGCGGTAGTCACTTAACATCAGGTGAGCCACATGCTCGTTTGCCCCTTCTTCTATAAAAAAAAAAAGGAGAAGGTTCTCAATTCAACTGTATTTTTTCAAGTGTGTTACTTCAGAACTTTTTTCTAGGTGAACCGATTTTGATGACTCTTTTTTAGTTAGTAGCTGGTGCTTTTCACGTGGTTCCATAAAAATTTAATCAAGAACTGATCATTAGTTTTTGAGTTATCCTTAATAATGCCTATTTAATTAACTTCGCCTTCATTGATGATGTTCTCATTTTATTTATATTGAAGTCGGTTGTACAACATTTTTTTTAATTTTACCACTTCACTTGCCATAAACAGACTAAAATAAGGGTGAAAAATGAGCACATTGTTTACCCAACAGTAGGCGGATATTGTGGTCAATAAACGTCAACAACTACCCTCAATTGAGAATCAAAATGCAGATGAGTTGTCACTCCTGACTATTAAGACGTGATGCATCGATTCCAATAAAAAGAGTTTCCATTTCTCTTCACTACTGGCTACTGGACTAAAAAGGATACAGTATTGCTCGGTACCGCTCTTGATATTATCGTAAAATAGTAGCTTAATACTGCTGTTTCGTATGGTGAGTATAGAGAACCGGAGACCCGTTTTACTGGAATCGAGACATTCCATATTAGTCCTCAGGGGTGACAACGCATATGCATTTTGATTCTCAATCGTTAAATGTAGATGTCTATAGGTCACAACGTCCACTTACCATCAGATCGACGGTATCCTCGTTTGTCACCCTTATTCTACAAAAAAAAAAACAGGTGACTATGAGAAAGGCGAGAAATAACTTATAGCATCTTATAAATGGTTGCATATCTCGAATACAATCAATATATCCAAACCGACGACAGGCAGCAGTGTCAATGATGTAAGACGTCAAGTAGTAGATGCAGTAGTATTACGATTGCCAATCCGTCTTTTTTTGTTGTGGTAACATTTTAGCAATTGCCAATGCTTATTTTTTTGTTGTGGCAACATTTTCATTCCGGCCGTGACGTCTCTACTAGAAATGAGACATTCCGTCTTAATCCTCAGGAGTGACAACGCATATGCATTTTTTCAATCGAAAATAGATGTAGATGACTATGAGTTACAGCATCCACTTACCATCAGGAAAACTCTGCTATTTTGTCACCCTTTTTCTCCACTAAAAGGTAAAGGATAAGAAATGCTAACTCACTTGCAACAAACACATAGTGGCCGATACAGCACTGTGTAAGGATCTCTAAAATAACTAAGCACATTGTTATTGAAACTTATGCCCGTTTGGCCGCAAACATGTTTACAAAATGAGGTCACCTAACACCGTAGCATAGGGAGATGTGTTTTGATAAATAATATGTCGCTGTATAAACACACCAACGGTTGTAACAAGTGTTCAATGTAAACTGCTTTATATATTATTATTTTTCTATAACATCCTTATTTTAAATATTCTCCAGCTTATTCATAATTCAAAACAATAAAAATAAAACACTAGAAATACCAAATGGTAATTCGTCCAAGCTCATTTTCTACGACACGCGTTAGTTTATCCCAAAATGAGCTATTTAACACTAAAGCTGTATCATCTGCAAAAATAAAAATCGTCCTTTGACTAGTTTTAGGTTAAATAAGTCATTCATATAGATTAAAAATATGATGGGACCAAGGATCCCCTGGGGAACTAGGTTTGTAGGTAACATTTTCTTATATATTTCTGCCGAAAAATAACAGCAGTGCTTGCATAGTTCTGGTTTGAAGGGGATATTTACGAGTGAACCAGTATAATTACTGAGACAGTCCATCGTAGTCCTCAGTGGTAACGACTCATCTTTAGCCTTCTTTGTTTCAAGTTGATTGCATGTGTCCATTTATACGTGACAGAGCCATGCTGTAGTTATATTAGTAGTATAGTTGTAGCACGAATGGGTCGGCTCGACTGGGGAAGGACCACGCTCTCACAGAATACCAGCGTAAA